TATTTTGTTTTTCAGTTCTAATATCTCCATAAGAGTCTTCTTTATATCTTCTATTTCTTTGCTGAGGTTTTCTGTTTTTTTCATTTGTTTTGAGTGTGTTCATAATTGCTGATCGAAACTTTTTTGATTGACGTATAATCAATATGTTCCATTAGTTTCAGGTGTATGTGATTCGATATTTATATACTTTACGAAATAATCCCCACATAAGTTTAGTTACCGTCTGTCACCATACTAAGTTATTACAATATTATTCCCATAGTTCCTGTGCTGTATATCATATCTGTATGACTTACTTAAATTTTTATAACTGCAAGTTTGTTCCTCCTAATCTCCTTCAATACCTGCCCCCCCGCCCCCGCACCACGCTCCACTCTGATAAACACCAGTTTGTTTCCTCTATTAATCTTTAGTCTGTTTTTGTTTTGATTTGTTTGGTTTTCTTAGATGTCACATATTAGTGAAATCATACGGTATTTGTGTTTCTGTCTGACTTATTTCACTCGGCATGGTTCCTTCTAGGTCCATCCATGTTATTGCACATGGCAAGATTATATTCTTTTTTATGGCTGATAATACTCCATTGTATATATGTATCACATCATTTTTATCCATTTGTCTATCAGTGAACACTTAGGTTGCTTCCATATCTTGGCTATTGTAAATAATGCTGCAGTGATGTAGGGATGCATATATCTCTTCAAATTAGTGTTTTCATTTTCTTCAGATGAATTCCCAGATGTACAATTGCTATATCACTGAATGGTATGATAATTCTAATTTTAATATTTTGAGGAAACATTTTTGTCACCTCAGTATTGGTATTTTTTTATTATTTTCTTTCATTCTGTTTAATATCTTCTGGTTCTTAGTATAAGTACAAGTGATAGTTGATTGAAACCTGAACATTTTCATATTATGTTATTATAGTTGATGTTTTATTTAAATCTACTGTTTTAATTGGCTTTCTCTGACACTCTTCCAGAGGACAGGGGGGTACTACTGCCTCATTACTGCCAGGTGGAGATCCAAATCCAGGGTCTCCACTCAGCCTCTGTTGACACCAAGGTGAGGTGTTTTTATCTCCCATCTACTCTCCCCTGAGCTTCCTCTGACATAACCCATGCCAAGAGAGGGAGGGTGCCTCTCACTGCAGGGGGCATGGAACTTGGGGCTCTCCACATGGTGTCACTGACACTACAGTGGAGAGGGCCACTTATTACTGTCCAGCATGAATAAAAGTTTCACCTCCCTTTACGGACACCAACGGGGGGTGCTGGGGTGCCTTGTTGTAGCCTCACAAGAGTCAGAGTCCAGGTTCCTCCCCCACTCAGCCTTAGCTGGTATGGAAGAGATGAGCCTAGGTTTTTCTGTGATGTGGCTATTATAGAGCTGTTATTGTTTACTGGGATGCCCCCTTTCCTGTCCCTTTAGCTACAGAGCCGAGGCTTCTGTTAGAGCTTTTTTGGTCTGTGCCTATGGCATTTCCATGTGGCCAGCTTCATCAGCTCCAAGTCAGGAAAATTCAGAGAACCCATTTCATGTCATTTCTCAAGTCCCTACCTGGTCTGCCTTTTTTTCTGCACTTTTCAGAGTTGTCTTCTGTTTGTTTTACATGTAATGTCCAGGGGGTTTTGTTGTACCTAATGAGAAAAATAGGGAAAATACATCTACTCCATCTTCCCAAAAGTAGAAGTCTTGCATATACTTTTAAATAATACAATTTAATTTAAAAAATATGCTTCCTCCAAATTAACCCAGTTTAGAAGATCTTACTTAAGTTTAATATGCAAGACCCAGAGTTCTTCTCTAGGTTCTATAGAATCAATGATCCAGTATTGCTTCTCATGACAAAGTAATGGTAGAAGAGTGTGGCAGTCAAATCAGATGCCACTGATGGTGACATACACAATGTTTCACACATTTCTCAGAGAAAAGTACTGTGAGTAAACCGAGATACTATCCATAATAAGAAGCATTTTGATTTCTGAGAGGTGAAAATATGGCAAGAGTGTGGTTCTTGAAATAGAATCAATATGGTAATTTTGTGAAAAGAACTTGCAGAGTGAAGTGCAAAACAATGTATAAATGTTCAAACATGTTTTATTTATTTGCTGTGTTCACATTAACAATTGTTTGTTGGTCAACCTACAAAAGGAAGCATTCCTTTTCTAAGAATGTTGACAAGGCCCTCTAAACTCCACTTTGGTGGGTGTCTCTTTCTTGCAGAGACAGAGCTGCCTGCTTTGCTATACAGAAAGGATTACAAGCATCACGTAGTGACATTAAGTTATTTAAGCATAATGATATGGCTGACCTGGAGCAACTACTAAAAGAACAAGAGATCGAAGATCAAAAGGTATTCTTTTGAAGAAAATTATGCAGTTCTTTTGTACTTTCTAACCGGCTAAATTATATATGAAATGGTAATTTGTCATGAAAACTTGCCTGTGGATCACATTTGGATATAAGGGCGTTACTGCTTATTAAATGTACTTCATGTTAAAGAGCCAAGTCTGATTGTAATTGCCTCATCACTGCCATAATTATATATGGCAGGTTTGGGAGAAATTAATCCAGGCACCGTTCTAAAAGAGAGAGAGAAAAAGAGCATGCACTTTGAGGGTATGAGGATATACACTTTCACCTCTACAGAAATAGCACTGAAACTCATTAGGGTGTTAATGAGATGTACCTGTAGAATTCAAAATAGTTTAATTCATATCAGAATAAATCACATATCAATTAAGTAGAAGAAACAATTTCAGCAGATCTTTAATTTATTAGTTTATGAACAAAATGAGACTCTCCCCACCCCTACTTCATGCCGGAGCTCTGAGCAGCTGCAACCTGTGAGAAACAACCACCCCAAACATGGTTTCTTGCCATCTTGCAGCCACTTAACACTGTTTCTTCCCTTTGGGGAGTGGCGGAGTGGAACTCACTCCTCACTGTTCATTTAGAGTGTAGCAGAGGAAATGTTCAAAGTGTCACTGTTCGAATTATCATTTATTTTCTTCTGGTCACCTGGATGAAAAAAATAGTTCTGGTCTATGGTTCTGCATCAGGAACCATTATATGTGAACTATACAAGGAACCTGGTCAACACAGCTTTTGTCTCAAATACCACTTGCAAGTGGTGGACTTTTCCAATACAGCTCATTCGTTACTAGAGTAACTGATAAAAATACTCATCATGTACCTTAATTTTGTGTTAATTTCCATTTTTTCCAGATATTTGCATTATTCCTTTAGGATTCTGTCATCTTTGTTTAGATGACAGCCTAAGAACAGCATTTAGTGAATATATATATTCTGTGATGAATTTTTATCTATGATGAATATGCATAGACTCTTGCTATTTTATGCCAGACATGCAATA